AAAAACAATGAAATTGTATTCTTTATTCTATTCTACCTGCCTTGTCTCAGCACCTGTGACTTTACTGACTAAAAGCCACAGACTCCATGGCCTGAGCTGCATATACAGGTGAGGAGAAGCTGAAGCACTTGATTGCATAGTGAAGTATGTGATTATGGAAAGATTCCCGGTCTGCAGGTGACCTGAGAGCACAGTGGAAACAATATACAATATTTATATTAAGGGAAGGACCAATTCAAAGTTACAGTGAAATATTTGCATAGGGGAAAAAAATAACTTTGCTTGGCTGTCAAACCTGAAACACAGACACTTGTAAACATTCTTGAGTCAACGTGCATCAAGAACTATTTCTGTGAGTCTCTGGTGTGATGGAGCCACTCCTCTATCTGCTGACACCACGGGCCCACACGTGATCCTGTAACATGGTGCAGCAGCGTAATCCACATGTCTTTTGGAAAAATATTTACAAATGTATTGTGAATTCAGAGGTCCTACATGTTGGTCCATGTCTAATAAGCAATCTTACAGTCATGGCCATGCTTTGATTTATTTAGCTGGTAGTTAGGTTGGCATCATATAAAAGGCAAGTAGACAGGAGAATGTGAAAGCCTTTGTCAGTGTCGGACCTTTGTGCACAACATATGGCTGTTTCCTGATGTCAGTACGTACCACCATCTACTCCATTTGTATTGAACCTACTAGTTCAGTATATACTGATCTGTTCAATTTGGAACATCACTAAATGTGTTCCACCTTTCCTCCACAATGCTTGGTTGAGCATGAAAGTGCTTTGTGTCTGAGGTCACCAAAATTGCAAACACTGTTTAACATCCATATGGGCCTTGTGCCTGGAGTTTAAACATAAGTTTAATGCTGTGCTATGTTGCAAGAAAACAGAGTGCATAGTCTTTGTTTCTCCAAAGCTCTGGTGTTGTCATTTTATCAGTCAACTGTCTGGTGCACTACAGCATGTTATGTTGAGACAATGAAGTTGGTACCATTCATTAAATATCAAAAGACTGACATGCAAAACAACTGGAATACTGGGAGAGGTTTTGATAAGACAGACAGAAATTAAACTCCAAACTCCAAAACAACAACAGAGAGTTTGGTTATACAAAAGACAATACCCCCATAGCTTTATGTCAAAGCGCATTTATATTCGTGATGATACTGAGACGGATGTCATTGTTCTTCAAATAAACTTTTCTTCAGAGACGGTTTCTTGCTCTTGCACATTATTATCAGCAGTGGCACAGGCCCTGACAATTTGTAATTCATTTGGATTTCTGTGTGTACTTGCCAAGAGACAGCAGAGACAAGAAGGTAACACTAATGAAGCACCAGGTGCAGCTCTTTGATTGGGCGAAGAGTGAAGCCAGGTTCTTGCAGAACTACTGCCGCCAAGTAATCATCTGTTTGTGCTGGTGAGGCTGCTGTTTCACAATAGCATGCTGAAGCAGGCAGCAAGGTGCTTCTTGGAGATTCCACTCAGGAACACAATATGGAGAGCTATCCACCGCAACAGAAAAGTTATGTGCATTACAGCAACATCCACAACTCATCAGTGGCAGAAGCTAAAGGAAAGGCAACATGGCACAGCAGTGCCTCCATCTGCTTCAATGTCCTCCCTCTGCTCCTACTGGCAGATATCAAGCTGTTTTCAGCTCCTTCTTAATACTGGGAAATGTCTAGTATTTCAGTGAAAGATCATTTTAACTTGCTCTTGAGATTTTCTGTTGAGATCGCTGTGCTTACTGTAACTGTTGGTGTCCTATGTGTACCTTTGGCTGAGTGCATTTTTCAGTATTCAGTCATTCCTTTGCTTTGTTCCACATTACTCTGTTACTCTATTACCAGCATCTGGATCTTTAGGTGCTAAATGCTCCACTGTGGTCTGTGCTATTTCCGACAGTGTGTGTCTGCTGTGTGCTGCTGAACAGCTTGTGTACATTGTACTGTCTGCTGTGGCCACAAATGACTTTAAATATAATAATAATAAACAGTGAGCTAAAGCCTTTTATTAGCTTATGCATTCACTTTGTCATTTGATACATTGTCATAAAAATATCAACTATAAAACTATGTTATAAAAAATATCAATGTTGGTTAGCACGAATCAACTAAAGAACTGACTGTGGTTTCAGTTAATAAAAAGTCAACTGTTATGTGCAGATCTGTGTCACAAGCATTTATCCACCTTCACTCTCTTCTTCCTACCACACTACTACTTGCACCGGGACTTTAAATAGAGAGGTGGAAAATGTTCACTGCTGTTTGGACAAACGTGCCAGCAACTTCATCCCAATAGCTTCAGCATCTATGGAGTCACAGGGCCTAACCACTAACCTTGAGTTTTGATAACCCAAATCTAATCAGTTCATCCTTGAGTCTGAGTGGACATTTGTGCCAAATCTGAATAAATTCCCTCAAGTTGTTCCTGACATATCATATTCAAAAGAATGGAACGGATAGACAGACAACCAGAGAACCTAAAGCCTCCGGCCATGGCTCTCGCTGGCACAGAGGCGTGAAAATTATGGCAGAATTTGAAACAAAGTTTTCAGACATGAGCCCTTTTTTGTATTCAGTATTTTGCAACTCAGATTTCTGAGTGGATGTAAAGAGGACGTAGAACTGGAAAGAGAGAGAAAACTCGAGAACACCTACAAAGTAACCAGTCTGATGTGGAATACATAGCAAATAACATTCTGCCACATTGGGTCACTTGCTTTCTTGATCTTACCTTTTGAAATCTTGCTCATTAGTTAATGCCTTCACTGTCTCCTTCTTTCTATAGCTTGCTATATGTTCTACGAAGTCTGAAGCTGATTGCTCTGACACTTTCAGTATTGATATATTCCTGTGTGCCACCATTTTCCTGTGTGCTTCAATAAAGACTGTTCAACCTAGAATTTATGCACTAGAGCATAAATCGCAAACCTATTCATTTACTTGAAACTGGAAACTACTTTTATTGTCATTGTACTATGAGTACAGCGAAATTAGATGTGCCACATCTGATCAGTATATCAATATAAAAACATGAAAATATAAAATATCCATTCTCACAGCCACAACAACTACATCCACACAAATATAAAATATATTATTTCTAATTTATAGGGTAGCATTTCCATGGCTGCAACCTCTGCCAGGGCATCTACCAGGTGAGCCTACGAGAAATTATGAGCAAATAAAAAAAAAAAAAAATAAAAAATACCCATTCCCCCAGCCATAATAACCACATCCACACAAACATAAAAGTAATAGATTATTTCTAATTATATATATTAAAATACAGAGTGAATGCATCAAATCATTACACACAGTTGTAATTAGCAGCATTCACAGTTCGGATAGCCCAGGGATAAAAGCTGTTTATAAGTCTATTAATCCTGCTTTTCAAGCTTCTGTATCTCCTTCCAGAGGGCAGGAGGACAAACAGTTCATATCCAGAGTGCGTATTGTCCTTTAGGATGTCCCTAGCTCTGCTGAGACATCTTGAGCTGGCAATATCCTTCAGAGTAGGCAAAGAGCATCTGATGATTTTCTCAGCAGTTCTTATAATCACCTGAAGTGCCTTCTTGTCTGCAGCAGGGCAGCCAGAATACCAAACGGTGATGCTGTATGTCAAAATACTCTTACAGTGTAAAATTTTAACACCACAACAGATGACAAGAACACTAAGTAAGTGTTTAAAGTTCACTCATTACAGACACTGATGGAGTAAATTGTCAACACCACCAGAAATCAGGTTAACATTTTATGGTGACAATTTATGCTAAAATAGCGTTGATTACACTACTAATGAAAGCTAAATGGTGCACTTGGATTAACACTATTAAGAGTTTAAATGAATCTGTTAGTGTAACTATCCTGTCATCCATGTGCAATAATCACTCCAAAAAGTACTGCAATGAACAAAAATATTTATTTTTCCTTTAACAAAGGTATTAAATTTGTCAAATCAGTGCACTAAAAAACCCTGCACATTGTATGTACAATACCAACCAAAATTGATACCTCACTGTTGCCCTATACAATACAGCCATATAGCACAACATAGTAAAATGAGTCTGTCCGTACCATAAGACATTTGGATATCAAAGGGCTTGAAGTATCTCAACTCATGAGGTGATACAACTGAAACATTATGCACTTGGTCAACAACATCAAAAGCATGAAAATGCTCCTCAAATGTAGGCTCCATTTCTGATACACAAAAATACACTTCATTTCTCAGAAAGATACAAACAATCTTACTGAACACTGGCATCTCAGAGCAAACAACAAGACCCATGTGATACTCAATACCATTAAGTTTAACCCATGTTGTGACACTTATTTCACTTGACATATCAATTTGAAAATGTTCTGAAATCACATCACCATTTTCAATATCACTCAGCATCTTTTGAATTGACAGGCCCAAACTCAATACCCATGACAGACAGTGACTTGTGCTAACAGAATGTTGTAGATTTACTACAAAAATTTTGTCAAGACTTAATGCTAAATGTAAAGTGTGTAAAGTAACTGCAATAGGTGCATTGTGCAACAACCTGTAATTGCTACACGTACACATTGTTAGAACATTGAACTTGAATCAATACCTGGGCAACTCTCTGAGGATTCATCATGCCACTGTTTCCTGGCAGACCTCAACAAACTTTGGAGCATCAGGGTGGACGTAAGGCTCTCCGCTTCTCTGATCACCTTTTCTTTATAGGACATATGCCACTTCTCAAGTAGTTTGGCTAAAAAAAAGAATGACTATTCTTACCAGCCCTTTATTATCCAGTAGCCTTGGAAACACATATAATACAGTGTGCGATTCATCTGGGCTGTGGATGAGATGCTGCCTATACTCAAAGGTCTCTTTCATCTTCTCCAGGATGATTTCTCTGTCACTGGTGTGGTTCATCAAGGATATGACCTCTTTGCAATGCTCTTCGTGTAACTGACCAGCACACTAAGGCAGCTCCCTCTCTCATCTTGGACCACTTCCTTGTGCTATATGCATTTGAGTTCTTGGACACAAGTCTCGTCTTCATAAATAATATAGCTTTGTTAAATATATTTTATATTGTATCTCTGCAGATTAATCCCTATTCAGTTATAATTCCAGACAATTCACAATGCTTATATATGTTAAATATATACATAATTCCTGCAGAAATCCCTCAAAACTGGAGGAACTTTTAACACTTTGCTACATTTTTGGTGACTTAACAGGTAGACAAATTCAGCCAAACTAACATTTCTTACCTGAGGGATGACTTTTTGAACAGAGATCTCACTGACCTTGCTGACTGCTATGAATCAAGAGTATAGAAAATTAAATCATTATCAAGATTGCAACTGAAGGTCAACAACTATAATTAGCATTACACATATTAAACATCATTAGACATGAGTTAACGTTACATTAATTAAGACTTTAGCTAACTAACGTTATGTTACCGGTATATAGACGGCAAACCAATTTTGCAGCTAAAACCCAAGGCGCCGCTGTATCAGTTGAAACGCTGTTTGTATGAAATAGTTAATATGATGCTCTCCTTGGCCAAAACAGCTTAAAATTATTTTTAAAAGGAGTTCACCTACATGTTAGCCCACACGTGTCCTAAAATTAAATTTAACTAAAGTTACATTGAAGTTAGCTAGCTAACGTTATCACTTACCAGTAAGCAAGTGGAAACTTGTTAATGATGATACAGGTTTTCATTGTAAACGCTAACATTTGAAACAAGCCAACATAAGTGTATTGTTATGAGAAAATAGCTGGAATACAATGAGAATTATTTATATTAAACTCACCAGTATATCCTTTTCATGCTCAAAGTGAGACCAAGAAAATGGCGGCTGTCACAAATCTCCACAAGCATACCTACCCAAATGCCCAGATGTTTAAAGTAACACTCTTCGGTGTTGAATACCATTAACACCGTAATGTTATGCCACCAACATTGTATTGTCACTAGCACAAAGTTCACTCTAGCAAAAACACCAGAACCTCAACACTTCACTCTAAAAGGACCCAACACTAGAATTTTAACTGAATTTGCTGTGTAGTCCCCAGGGAACTTAAAGGTGGAGACCCGCTCCACCTCATCCCCATTGATCCATCCTGTTCCTCCTCTGAAGTCAGTCAACATTTCTTTGGTCTTCCTGGTGTTGAGGGACAGGTTGTTGTCTACGCACCACTTGGACAATGCCCTCACCTCATCCGTGTATGCTGACTCATCTCCTCCAGTTATTAAGCTGACCACAGTGGTGTCATCTGCAAATTTGATGATGGTGGATGGGAGTGCAGTCGTGAGTGTACAGGGAATAGAGGAGTGGGCTCAGTACACTGCCCTGTGAGGAGCCAGTACTAAGCGTGATGGTGGAGGAGCAGTGGGGGCCAATCTTTACATGTTTGTAGTTTGTGAGGAAGTCTGTAATCCAGGCACAGGTCGAACGAGGTTAAGCCCAGGTGTAGCGGCTTGTCCACGGGTATACCTGGGATGACTGTGTGAACTATAGTCCACAAATAGCATTCAAACATACTGTAGTTCCCCGGCTTCTCCAGGTGGTACAGTGCGGTGTGGAGGGCTGTGTTGATAGCATCTTCTGTCGATCAGTTTGCTCTATACTCAAACTGATCATGGTCAAAGCAGTGAGGTTAATAAACCCTACTTAACCAATGAGAGAATTAAAGAAAGTTGACTTCATCTTTTAGGAATGAACATGTGTCCACATATACAACCTTTACATTTGTTGATCAGCTTTAGTGCCCAGTCAAGTGCCCTTTGTGCCCTTGACTGAATATGTGTGACAATTAAGGTCAAATGGTCTTTGCCTTTAAACCTATGAGCAGAAAAAGAGCCACATGCACTAACCCAGCTGATTCTAATTAGCACAGGTAAGAGACCTCATTAGTGGAATCAGTTGGTTCAGTGCTTTTTCTTTTTTGCTTAATGCACATAACTATTTTAATTGAATGTTTTGGTTTCTTTTGCTGTGTTGCCTTATTGAATTAATAGCAATGTCTTAATGTCTTAATTTCATGTGAATAGCTGCACTGGAAATATGCTGAATACAAACATTGGCCAGGTGTGCTGATATTGAATCATTACCTCTCCCCATCGTATATTAGCACACATTGTGATGTTACAGGGTTAAACTGCCCTTTTACATCTCTTATGAACAGACGGTTTTAAGATCAAGTAAAAGGAAAGGACCTATTTGGGATTTGGGAGGCCAGTAGGGTGTAAATTGGACAAACCTGAACCAGAAAAGTTGAAGATGAACATTTATGTTGTTATCATTCTGTAATGATAGTATAACATGGATTCTAGCTGTAGGTTTGAGCATTTGTTGAGTCCAAGAGCCTATATTACAAAATGTCAAGATATTTGTCTAACATCTTGTATATACAGTATTGGGGCTTTGGTACAAAACCCTGGACTACATTCAGTGAAAACCTTTTTCAGCATTGGCATGGATAAATCATATACTGCAGAACCATCTTTTTTTTGGAAACTTATTTATTCAGGGTATAGACTAAGAGGCCACTTCTCTTTTTCATCGATACCCTGATCACATTCACACAGTTACACATTCACACCAGGAAGCTGGCCATTACAACCACAGACTGACCTGTGGCCAATTAGCAGCCCCACTGCAGCAGTTTGGGGTTAAGGGCCTTGCACGAGGGCACCACAGTGGCGTTGATGAGGGCATAGGAGGCGTTGCTTTATTACCTGTCCCACCTGGATTTAATCCAGTGATTAAATCGGCAACCTTCCAGTCACAGGCTCACTTGTTTAACGTTTAGGCCAAGAATTGTATACCCGGACTGGAGAGTGTGGCATTACCATGGGTTGCCATGCCAGTACCACCTCCCTTCTTTCACTTTCTTTCTCCAGTTTCTGCCCAACGAGCACTCTGCATCCTTTTAAAAGGGAAAACATATGCATTAAGAACCTATCCCAATACTGCAAATCCAGATGGTCTCTTATTGTGTGTTTGCAATTGTTGGGCTTAAATAGTGATTGCTGTTTGTCTACCCCCAAAACAGAGGATTAAACTATAGGATCAACGAGGGTGCCATTTTGGCACAGCCTGAGGCTTTTATCATTGCGTCACTCATTCTGCTTCATCAGTAGCTGCCAATTCACACACTGTGCCAGTGACTGCAGAGCTTTTATGGCTTACTAAGCCGGTTGTTGAAAATACATTAACAGACAACAGGGCAGACGTTCATCAACTCTCTGTTAGGGTGAAAACTCTTTTGAACCAAATATAGAACTTGCTTGAGATTTTCTTTTATTCTTAACAGTGTGTTATTTGGTTTGAGAAGTGATGTTTTTAAACACATATAGTAGTCAAGCAATAAGTAGCCCATGCAGAATATTTGGCTGCGGAACACTGGCACTTTTTTCAGCCTTGTTTTCTCCCTAATCAAAATTAAAGGGGGGTTAAAGGGGGGTGGCTGTGGCTCACAAGGTAGGGCAAGTCATCTCCTGACCAGCAAGTTGGTGGTTCGACTCCCGGTCTCCCCACATGCCTAAGTGTCCCTGAGCAAGACACTGAACCCCAAATTACTCCCAGTGGCTTGACTAGCCTTGTTATCATCTGTGTGTGAATGGGTGAATGGTGTATGATCTCCTGTAAAGCGCTTTGGGCAGTGCAACACACTGTGAGAAATGTGCTATATAAGTACAGTCCATTTACCATAAAGATCTGGGACAATCATTCAAAAACACAAGCTGAGTATATTTAATTTACATTATTAAAGAACAAACACCACTCATTAATATTATTTATTCATAAAAATGCATGAACTAATGAATACCAATATAAATTCCCAAAATCTTAACTCATATATTCAAATGGAAGTGCTGAAAAACCATTACTATAAACATCAGTGGCCTACATGAGAATGTCATACCATAGAAACAGACTCTCCATTGTCATTTCATTGATTGGACTCCAGGTTTGCTAACACCTGACTCCAGCTGACATTTAGTCTGTAAAAGATGACTGTTTGTGTTTTAACAGCTCACAAATATTGTGTTTGTTGATATTTGTAACTTTGGTGAAGATCAGATCATGTTTCATGACCAGTTTATGCTGAAAACCAGGAAACTGCAAACAGTTCCATTACTTTTTCTTGTGACTGTAGGTTATTAAATTGACCAAAAGGAGAAAAATTTAAGATCTAATTTAGTATTAAGCCCATAAGGAGTTAATGTTTTTAACCAGTAGATCCAGTTTTTCTCTAGCATGGCCATGAGGTTGACAATTTTGTTTTGGAGAGTCATTAAATTCCCTCCAGAAGCCAAATCCATGGATAATCACTCCAGTTCCATCACAACCAGCACCCGATCCTCTGCCGACAAAACCACTCTACCTGCTGGAGCGGCATGGTGGTCCTTCAAGTCCCCACAGACCAGCAACTCTCTGACAGTCCAGTCTTCCTTACCCCAGCCTTCACTCACAGTCCAGACCTACCTGTTATACCCCAGTTCTTTAATTGGACAGATCTGAGAAAGGAAGGACTCCGTCTTCCTTCATTTTAGTGCTGATTTATTTTAGAGCCACAAATAAAATTTACAGAACACAACCTGGGTAGCTCCCTGCTCCAGACAACTGCTGGAAGAAAGAAGTCCCTGAAACACAGAGCCTAATACATTTATAAGGATTTGGCCTAACCCCTTACACAAAAAGATATAAAAACATCATGAGTTGGAGACAGTCCGGCATCTCCTTCTCTTATCTAGAGTTCCACAGGCTTGGAGCAGCTGGTCATAACAAAATGAAAAATTCCGTGTGTGTGTTGTTACGTGGCGCGTAACTAAAACATTCTTTCAGACATAATTCTAACACAAGATTAATACAATAAAACAATTGGTGTCAAGGTACACTTTCAGTACTTTCAGTACACTCAAGGTACTTTTCAGAATCAATGTTGTCTTCTAACCTTGGAGCAAAGCAGTCTAGAGCAGACTTTGAATCTTACTAAACTGCATTACTAATACATTTGATTCAACACATTAATGTCTAATAATTATCTGACTGATTTATTAATTTCTAACATACCCTGTCCAGTTACCAGTTCTCCCTGGAGTCCAGTCGTCCTACAAACAACCTGAGTCTTTGCTTCCCTGTATTCTTTGCAACAAAGTAATTTGTATGCTCCAATAATCTGAGTCCTGCCTTCGAGTCCCTCAGTCTGGTTTGTGGCCAACTGGCCGTGACACATACATATGTAACAAGCTTCGCAAAATTTAAATTTTACTCACTGAAGTTACAATTGTAACTTTTTTTCACATGAATATGTCACTGGTATGTTCATGTTAAAGTTTCAGACCACAGCACTTTGAGTGAATAAAGGGAATTATAAAACAGCAAGGCCTGGACTAAATGCAGGACAATTTTTTGTCAGTATGGCATTTTTCTACTGGAAGATATTTTATTTCATGTATATAAAGGTTTTAAAAATAACCTGACTGACAGAACAACCACAGCTGTCTTGGTGGCAGGGCTCTTGGTCTGCTTTCCTCTCTATAACACATGTATGACTAATACATAGTAACTGATCTGACTGCAAACTGCAGCTTTGTGTGAAAACACTGCAGTGTGATTCTTCACACACCCTCTGGGAAGTAACAATTATGTGAGCGGGTGTCCTCTGTAACGTGAATGATGTGCTGTGATAAACTGGATTGCATATTGCTTATGCTGTGAAGAAATAACATAATGAATAAAAGTATGTCAGCACAATGTATTCTGGAAGCCACCCAAGACAACACTATCGCACCAGGAGCACAAAGTCCTCAGTGACAGAAGTTGACTGGGAGGTTCTGGCACGATGAGGATGCCAGCACCTTTAGTTCAGTATATTTTTCAATGCTGTCAGCAGTTAAACTCCACAGCTGTAGTATACTAGTGGTTACTACATCAAATTTGGGGATTATCTATCAACAATGTTGTTTTTGTTATTTTTTGGCTGTTTGAAGATGTGCATATCACACATGAAACAATAATATTTGTTTAATATGTAGTGGATTCAGAAAGTATTCTCAGAATCAGCTTTATTGGCCAGGTGTGACGGACACACGAGGAATTTGACACAGTCAGTCACTCACTGAGGCAATATAATTTTGATAGACTAGTGTTACACTCTAATTTCTTTCCACACTTGTGTGTTAAATGGGAGGGTCACACAGATTAGCATCACCATGGACAATCAACCTTTTCACCACGATGTTGACTAGTTGCTGACCATTTGATAATATCACTACCAACAGCCTTAATGGACATAGCAAAAGCCTTCCATGTGACTCAATGAGTAGTCAGAAGCTTTCACTACTTAGCTGTTGCATCCTGTGTCCTGGGAAACAGCTGGAAAAAGAGGGTATAACTCAGAATCTCAGGATCAGCTTTATTGGCCAGGTGTGCTGGACACGAGGAATTTGACTCTGGTACAGCTGCTCTCAATGTGCACGTACATACAGGCAACAGCAAGGGGCAAGTAACCAATATACTGTACCAACATAAGGCTGTGTAGTTTAATCAACAGACATACACACATGCACATTGATTTGCTTCATGTTTTGACTACTGTTATGGCCAGCTGCAAGGCTGGCAACAGAAACGTCGCGGTTGACGTTTCTGTGTAGTATGGGGCTAGCCCAACCGAGGGGATATAATGTATAGGCCTGGTGGGTTCAGGGTCTTTCATCTTACATCTGCCTGCGTGCAGTTTGGAGGTGCAAGATACCTGAGCGTGTGATCCTATGAATAAATCAGCACTGTTTTGAAGTTACTTGGACTGTCTCGTCTCTCAGAGTTAGCAATGGTAATAAGAGCCATAATCCTACATTTTAAAGACGTATGTAGGAGTGTAATGTCTAGATCAAAAGGTCAGGATGTCGTTCAAGAGTTTCACAGATCAAAATCTGCCTGGCGACAAGATCACCAAATGAAGGGTCAGAACGAGGTCAAGAAACCAACCAAGGAACGAGGATGGACAGCACAGATGATGTCAGATCATTTGCATGACACTTATTATAAATTCTCTGTGAAGAGGAAACTCGTGGTTCCGGCTTCCTGCAGCAGCTATGCACTATACTTCTGTG